TCACAGGGACAATTAATTCAAGATAAAACATCAGCTATTATACGTACACTGAATCCGGAGATGTTTGGACCGCTTGTGGAATTCAATATTGCAGTAAACGATCAGCGTGGACAACCATGCCAACAAAAATGCCTAAATAGTAAAGGATCGTATGGGAATTGCGAAGATCGGCCAATTCGATTATCAAGCCATGAGTTTATTATTTTCTCAGATCCTATCGAATTTTATGAGGTAATGTTTATTTCTTTCTTATTACACCAATATTTTTGTTTTTGTATGTGATTTTCAGTTGTTACTTCAATTTATTCATTAAATGAACTGATGTACAATAAACAGGCAAGACGATAGGAGTAACTTGAATATTTTGATTGAATTACTACTATCTTCATCAAATTTCAATCATTGCGTTCAAAATCTTAGCAATATTCCAGTAAGTCCAGCTATCCATTTGTATGGAAGAATCCATTTATGCACTTGTATTACCGATATCAACTCCTATACGCGCAAAACTTTGCTTAAAATAGGCAAATTAAGCTCGTGATTACTTATAATCAAGTTCTGGCAACAAGAAAGTAACATTTTGCAGAACCAAAAGTCACTTCTGGAATGTCAGTGGACTGGAAGAGGATACTATCGCAAAAGGAAACGCGATTTTTTATTATTTATTTGCGATGAATGATGGAAACATGCGAAAAATGACAGTGCAATTTCAAAAGCTCACCAATTCAATTTTCCAAACTTAATTTTGTCAATTACAAATGAACAAGTCTTTGAATGGATCTTCAAAAGTCCATTTTAAATGAGAATGAAAATTATTAGGCATTCCTCCACACAAGGCTCTCTTATTTACAACCAGATTCATTTTTGGGTATCATCGAATTTCATATTACATAATACTCCATATTAATTATACCAGTATACTAAATTTTTTCGGATACGAAAAAAAAATTAAGTAAAACCGCAGATAAAAAGATTTGCAAAAGCTGATCAATTCACTGGCATCAAATTAACAATCACAGATACATTATTAGACGTCTGTATGAGCGATTTTTATCAGAACTTTATAAATTCTCAGTTACCTCATCAATTTTTTCTTTTGAAAAAACATTCCACACAAAGATGTTTCTGAAGCTTCTTTAACCCTTCTTTTAAAAAAGGTTTGTAGCGAAAATTCGAAATTCCAAATTCCATTAAATTCTGGCAATAGCAATAAAGCTAAACGTCATGCACTTACGATATCTTAAATGAAAATACACATTTACAAAGTTAGAGACAGGTTAAATTGTAAAAAATATGACAAACACTAATTCGAACTAATGCTGTCCTCAGTTATACATTACAGAAAAGAACTACGAAAAATATAATGACATAAGACTGAAAATAATGCATCGATTTTCCACAACTATATTTTACAAAAAGGACTTTTACAACTTCTTTGAACATTAAAATAAAGTAAACGTCCTCATTTCCATTAGAGACAAGTAAAAATATGAAGCGACTTTAATGACTAGCTTTATTATCACCATCAAAGAAACAATAAAAGATGCAAGCAAAAGTGAATTATATATCAGAAAAATAAAATCCGGTGAAAATTCGAAATCTGAAGTAAACTGGAATACAACTTAAACTCTTATTTAAATAAGAGTAAGCCAGCAAATCATTAAAAAAGCGGTTTTGTAGATACCTCCCAAACAATCAGATGCGACATATCTCGAGCTCGCACTGCATTTGCCATATCTATAGCATCCTCTTCTTCTCCTAAATATTGTTAGAGTTACTCGATTTTGGAAGTAAAGAGGAAAATAATTTACGTAATCGAAAAAATAAAAAGAAAGCGTATACAAACCCATTCTAAAATCGATGTATCCATCACCACCAGAAACAACAAGCATTTTGTGTGAAGCTGATTTATCTGGCTTGTCAGTATAATCTAGAGATTTCGCAGCGGTTGCTGATGACATATCTGTGTTTGCACCTTCAAAGCAAAATAAAATGAAAAAATTCCATGCAAAAACTGATTGGACATACCAAATAAAATAATGATCAAAATTATTAATAACAATAAATTCACTTATTATATTTTCTTTACGATCTTGAAAACAATAGAAGTTGATATGAAGTCGGGATTGTTAATATTCATTCTTTTCTTGTTCTATATAAAGTTATGTGATCATAAGTTTGTTACGCATGGACGAACACTATGTTGTTATTCATATATGCTCAGTAAAATAGCACCACGATTCTATGTGAAGCAAAGAAAACTGGTAATTCTGCTTGTCTCCTTAACATTATAGATCGCTTAGCACTGTTAATTTCTAAAGAGATCACGATTTGATTACATTTTAAAACAAAGTTTTGGAAGTTTTGAAGTTCGATGAGTGAGAAAATCGATCATGTTTTCATTTCGAAAAGACTTACCAGGGACCGCCAAGAAAAATTTCACCGAATCTTTGTGCCCGTGGAATGAGAGCTGGGCACGCGACATATCACAATATGGTATAAAAGTAGCACGCGACACTTTCTCATTAGCCGTATCGCCGTAAACCCTAATTAAACCACCTGGACCTCGTACATCTTCGGTATGTGAATGTGTTTCTGCTTTTGTTTCAACTCGGTTTTCATTAGCTGCAAGTATCTCGTTTCCAATTTCTGCATGTTAATTAGATATATTTCATTACAAGACAAAAAACGAGGAAAATGCTATTTAATTAATAAACATTTGCGCTAATTCACATTACAGTTAAATAAGAGACTTACAAAGCAAAATAACAAAGAATTTAATGTGCACATATAAACAGAAGTTCATGGTCGAAAAAATGACATGGTATTCGCAATTTAATGTACTTTCAAAACATACTTATACATTTGCAGAATGAGAATTTTGTATAGAATGTTATAAGAGTTTTTATTAAACTATAGCATGTTTTGATTAAAGATTTATAAAAATTAATTTAGCAAGGCTTGAAACATCAACCTACTTCCAGCGAGTGGCACTGAAATAATAACACCCGTTCCTGTGCCAATCCATAAACGCCGACAGATTGCCAATAATGCAGTAGTGCGCATATAGGAATAATCCAGATTGTTAGTACCTATAAAGAATAACCTCATATCATGAGGAAGATTAAACGTATTGTTTGATAACTGTATGGAAAATCTATTATAGTTGACTAATGTGCAAATAGTACGCTTAGTTCAACTAATTTGAGTCTATCCATCCTTCACCTACACAAGTGCCCAAATAATTCAAAATTAAATGTAAAACAAACATACCCAACATTTTCGTGACATACGGCTCAATATCAATATCCTGAAGATGTTCATAATTATAGGCATGGTAAAGTCGAAGTGTTGAATCAAGTCGAATAGAGATCCATACGCCATCACCAACCCATTCCATATGACGTACTTGACTATCTCGTCTCGGATGTGCAGCAAAAACTTTCTACAAAAGAAATAATGCAGAAAAATAAAAACAAATAAGCCTGGTAATAACAAAATCTTATAATCTTGAAACTCTGCAGTAATACAAAAGCCATAAAGATGACCTTTACTGTAAGTTCTTTTGGGTCGATGACAATAATACAGTTGCGATAAGCAGCCCACAAACGATCGTCTACCATCGAAAGGAATCTCACTGAACTTGTTGCGCGACCCACAGTGATGCAATGATAACCTGCTTCAGACCAACCACCACCTAAAAAAATTGTTGCGCAATTCGATCGAGCCCTTGAAATCAAAAATCATATTAAGATAAATCACAGTTTCGAAATGCGTATATCTTCTGTCAAAATTATATGCCAAGCATAGCTGTCTAGGCGAATCTCTTCCGGATTTATTCCGTCTTACAATGACTAAAAAACCAAGCTAAATTATCATGCTTACTAGATACTTAACTCACAGTATTACATGGTCGAGTTCTTACAATTTTCAAACCGCCGCAAACAGATTGTAATTTCATTTCTCATAAATCCTCTATGAAACAAAAGAAATGCATCGAAGAAACATACTTGAATCTCGATGAAAAACAGCGATTGATCCATTAGCTAGTGCAGCGAATACTCTTCCTTTGTAATGTCTGCAAAATTAAAAAATTCATTTATTGAGAAAATTTCAAATAAACCTACAAATATCTCATTAAAGAGCTAAATGTCGAAGATATCTAGTGTGCCCTGCTAGATGCGGAGGACTGCCACTCAGCACAAAAATGATTTAATTATTTAATAATTTTTCATATCTTTAATCATGAACGAAAAGACAGTTAATCATGAATTGCTCATTAATAGCTTTTGAGGTACCTCTGCTCTTTCTGATCATTCATATAGAAGAAAATAATTAGAAGGAAGCAAATATGGAGTAGACACAATTGACGAAATTGTTTAGAACTTACAAAATGGAAAGGACCGCGTCAGGCATTTTTATACGCCGCAAACATTTACGCCATTTTGATACCGCCGAATGAATAAATATACTGGAAAAATTAAAAACAAATTATAAGCTATACAAAAAAAATCTAGTTGGAAATATGTGGAATACATGAAAAGACAATGAAGAAGTAACACAGGAAAAAAGGATTAATGAATTAACAAAAAAAAAAGTCGATGATAGATTTGATAGTTAGAAGACTTGAAACATCATTATAAACAATCGAGATAAAACAATTTTTTAGATCGTTCAATGTAATCGATGAATAATCAAATTACACTAGCTTTCAAAAGTAAAAAATTATCGCAAGTGAGCTTACTAATCATTCTGAGACCCCATCCACATTGTTGGAAGTGTTGTCATGTTGTCTGATAAGTTTTCATACTTGCTGAGTCTGTCTTTAATATGAGTTGAAAACGTGCCAACACTATCTTTTTCTGTCTGTCCCAAGGTGTCTGAAAATTTTCTCAAGATTTTTGCTGGAATACATTCATCTGAAAGATGACCATCATGCAGTTTGCATACACAATAATGAATGCCTTGAAATCTGCGAAAGTAAAAATCTCACAAAACAAAGGAGAATAAACATTTATCAATTACATGGTCCTGAAATCTTTATCAGTGCAGAAAATTTGAGGAATGATTACTCCAAAACAGGTATATGTAAGTGAAAATGATAAAGCAGGAAACATGTTATAGAGTTACCTAATCTTTGAAATTGTAAAATCAAAATTCTCTCAATATAGCCATAAAACATCAGTAAAACAAAAAAAAAAAACATGCACCACAAACAATAATACTTTAGTAACGAGCAGGATTTTTGCATGCTACAACTTCATTTTCATGATTAAAACATTTTGAAAACGTTCAGGAACAAATAAAACAAATCTGCTGAAGGAATGTGGAAATAATTATTTCCACAACAGCTTTACGAAGAATAATCTATTTAATTTTTTTGTGAACAGATGAGACGAAAATTTATCTATATATGAATAAAAATGAATTCACAAACGCTGTGCAATGAAAGTACAGTGCTTTATGCATTATCCATATTATCTCACCAAGAATAGCGCCTTTATCGGCTGCTTCATTATGTTTTTCCAAAAGTATATACTTCTTCACAATGCCATTATCTTCAGCTTTCTTCGTTTCGCTCTCATTTCTCACTTCGTTTTCCATTTTGACTACATGTATATGTGAGAAAGTTTAATATCATAATGAAAAAGGAGAAACTTAAGCAGATGATGAGAAGATAATTCGCGGAAATTTTTAGTAATTTTACAATTGTAATATATGGTAAATGATTAATGGTCACAGCTTAGTCATGCTCATTAAACAGAAAGTTATATACAAACAGTTGTGTGTTACCAGATAAAGCTTACCGAGCTCAATCACCTGATTTAGGCCTTGATTACTCTCGGAAGTACTCGGTGCAACCTGTTCACAAACACTAACTAAAATCAAGTATTTTCAAATTACAATTTAGCATAAATAATTCACATATTGAAATTACTGGGTTTAAATTAAATCCATGCAACTAGAAACTGCAAGCAAATTTAAACTTACAATCTCGCGAGCGTTGTGGAGAAGGTTTCTGACCAGGGCCACAATAAGTTAATGTAGCGTCTTCATCCGAGTCAAGTTTTCGCAACTCAACCTACACGTGAAAATGTATATAAAAGATTCTGAAGCATATTTCTCTATCATCTTTTGAAAATGAGTTAAATAATCGTTAAGCATAAAAACAAGTACCCATTGTACGGCACCAAATTGTTCCTGCTCGTTAATATCCGATGGCAAATCTTTTACATAACCACCACCACGACAAAAATTTTTCCAATTTGCATCTTCTGAAGGATAATCCAATTCTTGAACACCTTAAACTTATTGTCAGTTTAAAATTTACTTTCTCAATTTCTATTGAAGAAAAAAGCATGAGATTTCAAACAAGATATGGAAAATCTATTTAACCTGGTACAGATGAGACACAGAGAACGTGCGCGGAACATGCCTGGAACGTATCAATAACACTATTTGGATTATTTGCATCTAATATAACAACATGACTATGTCCTTGATTCGAACTGCATACCCATACCATACTTGAACTCTTCCATGCAAGCATTTCCACTTCGTGCTCATTCTCCATTGTCTCCTATTTATTTTGTGATATCAGTATCACTTTAATTTTCATCTCCTTTCTATATTGAATGTCAACTGATATGTGAAAAGAAACAACAAAATAACAAAAAACTTAACTGCAACTAATGTCTAACAATACTATTTCTAATGCTACTATTTTATCTCAATATCCGTTGCCTTTCAGTTTTATCAAATTACAACATCATTTAAATTACTTTATCCCACAAATATTCATATTCCATGAAAGAGAGAGATTTTTTTAAGTGATAAACAGCAAGCCTGCATAAACTTGAGTCTTTACATATATATATATGATGATTCTTCCCATTCTTATCTCTTGTAATTCCTATATTTTTTTATTGTAATCAAGTAGAAATAAACATTTAGTGCCTCGAGATTTTTTTATCATTCCAATATATGTGTTTATTATTTTCTTTATGAGTTCAAAAAAAAAGATCTGGCCTCATCTTATTTAATTCTTTCATTCAAACTTGTATATCATTACAAAAACATGTTTTTTTATAAAAGCGTTTAGATTGTATGCATTAAATTATATGCAGCAACAAATACCTTATGTTTGAAGTCAAGCTGATCTATCGAATTTTTACGAAGAGGAGTAGATTCTCCTGGAATTTTAGAATCTGAACAAAACATCGAATCATCAACAATATATTCACCATCAGCTGTTCTACCTCCTTGCAACGTTACACCCGATGAACACCAAATCTGCAAAAGCAACAAACCTGATAACGTATTGATAATAAAATAATGGAATTTCAGAAAATTTGGCATACGAAATGTTCCGTTCAAAACAGCATTAAAAATAGCAATATTTTTTTTTTTTTAAAACTATCTGATAAGCTAAAAAAAGTGTAGATTTCTTGTGTTTGTCCTAGAAATATATAAAGATACTTTTAATGAAGGATCTAAATCAATGAGTGGTCTGCAGAACACTGGAACTGGTACCACAGCATTTTCATTACGTTCACCAAAAATCGCCGGAACAGACCATCCATATGCATGAAAACGATCACTTTCTTCACGGTTCATATGTTCCTTCACAATTTTATACTGCTGTCGACGTTCTGCAGCCCTTTTTTCAGATGAACTGAACAAAATTTAATGTTTTATTTGAAAATTCCAGTATCTTCGCACTATTAGAATCTCTGTTTAACTCCATTTTCTTAATTTATAACATTCAATGAATATGAAATGTCAACATACTAATCAGTATCCATAAAATCAATTGTTTTCGTACTAGAACGACGGAAGGCATTACGCTCATTACCACCTGTTCTTCTGCGACGATTTGAACTATGTGGCGGCTCGTGCATAAATAAACCAGAGAAGCTAAAAATTCGATGAATTTTACTTAGCATTATCAAGTGAAGAATTTAGCATCGATAAAAAAAATTTAGAATCTAAAATTTCTAATTTTTATGCATAAAATATGTGTCATAAGTGACCAAAACTAAAATGTTATCTATATATTCAATATAACACTAACAATTCCCAGATTCCACTACTCTTTTTAGTATTGAGAGCATTCAAACGCTTAGCACGTTGCATTTCAGTCCATTTCATAGCTTCTTGGAGCTCCATTAATTTTTCCTTATATTGATTACGCTCCAATAGAACACGAGCCATTTCAAGTCGTGTAAAACGCTTCCGTTGTGCCATCGGTAAATCCTCCTGAATTGAGAAATTGTGAGATTATTTTATATCAATTCTCATTCGTAATTTAAAGTTCAAAAAGTACTGTACTGTGTAAATAACATGACATTTGTTTCGAAAACTGCGAATTATTATCTAATCGAGATGCAAAAACAATTGAAACGGACTTCTCTGCATAGTGAAATCACATTAATGAAAGCAAATAAACCTACCTGATCATCTTCACTCCTAACTTCTAGCTTGTCTTTAAGATCGCGCACTTCCGATTCGAGTTCTTTTATTCGTTCATTCATCTTCGACCTTACCATTTCCAAACTTCGAATCTCTTCACGTAATATATCTTGTTCACTATAAATATCATCAAAATTAATGAACATTTAAGATTCCTGCACTGTCAATTTCCGACGCTAATGAGATGCATTAACACTACAACTACTTTGTAAGATGAAAGAACAACCTAAGTTTAAGATTAAAAAAATATATTTGCTCGAAAAAAAATTAAAATAAAAATACCTGCTCAATTCATCGACACGAGCAATTAAATCATTCTTCACAATATTAAGAGCATTTTTCGTTTCCAGTAATTCCGTATTTTCCTTGATCAAATTCTCCACCTCACGGCCCATTCCTGAAATATGCAAATCAAATTTAAAACACTTGAAAAAGAAATTTATAGTGTTCTTACAAACATACAAACAATGCCACAACATTTATACTAAAAATCGTGCAGTTCTATTGATTTCGAAACTCAACATTTTAAAAACAGAATCTCTTGTCTAAAAAACTTTGACTGGACAATTTAGTTGTCAGTCATTCTGATAAGTGTTTGAAAAAATCTTTTTAATGGCTTTAGAATAACTTCAACAATCACAGACATTCTTTCATACATGGATGTTCCATGTAATACAGGTATTTTAAACATATTAATAGTCGGAAGTAAATCATTTCCGACTATTAATGCTGTTTATCCATCCCACCTTGTTAATTCTCTAAAAAATGACAGATTAAAGAAAAAAAAAAACAAAATGAGCATAGCATCGTACAAATACTATCACAGACTATAATACATACCGATGAATGTATCGTTTACTGTAAATGTAATTTAAATCATTAATTGTCATTTTTCAAAGTATTAATGATTGAAATAAGCTAAAGGAAATGAAAATCTGATTAAATGTGAGAACAGGGGGTAAGCATGATGTGGTAATCAAAAAAACATGCAATTAAAATTAGCTGCGATATATAGAGATGCAAATGAAAAAAAACTACGAAAAAGATTTCAGACACTGTAAAACATGACTTACTTCGGAGTAATTCAAGTGAAAATAAAAAGGAAGTATAATTTTCACGAATTCATCCTGTTTGCTTCCGTTTGCAGAAATTTGAATATGAAATTAAGGAAAAAATTAAAGCTATGAAACGTGAACAGTGATCCGGATTCGACGAAGTGCCTAACAACATGCTGATTTGCAGAACATCCATTAGTGAGGAACTCTTCTAGAAAGAGTGTAAACAGAACAAACAAGAAAAAAAAGACATACAATCATGCAACAAAATTATAAACAATATTCATTAGTTACATAAAAAAATAGTTTGTCTAACGATTATTGCCAAAAAATGACCATATCCTTATCCATATTAGCTATAACTCACTCATATCAGTTTATTTCAGTACTGCATAAGACGTGTCAAAAATCGATAAAAGCAGAACCGTTCCATGCATGGCTTTTGATAGAATAAATGCAAAGTAATCTCATTTAGATTGAAAATCCAAAAAGTGAGAATATTCATTGTGATCCTATTCGTAGTATCTTCATTTTTGTTCCACGATCTGCTGCATCAAATGATCAACTTCGCATGGTGGAGTTATTTCACATCAAGTAATTTCTACGATCGGTAAAAATAACTAAATAAATGTTATCACACATATTACAATCACAAAAGTGCATGATACGATGCTGCTGCTGTTAGATATGAGATGAAAAGAGTATTTAATGATAGCTGTGAAATGATATTTAGCAACAATCATCATCAATGCCGGTGAAAAATTTTGCAAATAGAAGGATTACCCGCGGAAGCAAACTCGGCCGGATCAACAAGTGCACCTGTAGAAAAAATACCCCTTTTCAAATTTCTGTTGAAAAGACGTTTAAAATGTAAAATAAATTCTTTGACCCATATGTATCTCTTTTAAATTTTTTTTAGGAACATTTCAGTCAGTTTTTAGAAATCATAACTAATGATAAGGCGGTGGTTAAGAATGAAATGTAAGTTCAACAAAAAAAAATAAAGATAATATAAATTATACTTTCCATAAACTACTAATCAGTGAAGAATTACTAATCAGTGAAATAAAGTAAAAGAACAAAATACCTGTTAGATCTGCACCAAGAGAATCTACAGCATCGTTGGTTCTGTAATAATTTTATTAAACTAATAAAACATATTTAATTTATTAACTCTTCAAAAAATCTATATCTTGCAGAGCGAGTTTCGTAAAACACCAAAAAAAATCACTAGTACAGCATATCGCCTACAATTAGGTCATACAGTTAACCAGTTGAATCACTGACATCATCAACAAATGAAATGAAAAGAATGGTCCATGACTGTATAGTTGTCTTTTCAAGTAGCCTATGCTAGATTGATAAAGCCAAAACAAACATTATATACGAAATAAAACTAAACAATCAACCTTTATCAGTTTTTAATAATCATTCCAATTTTAATATTTTCCAGCAAGTCAAATAAGAAAACGAAACGTTCCAAAAACAAAACAGGCTTACATGGCAACTGCTGCTGGAACGGATGTGGAAGGTTGAACAGTGTTATCAGGAAGTGATGGAGGTGCTTCACGCGGTGATTGCACGGTTGAAGAGGAGTAATCACGAGGTGATTGTAGTATATCAGAAGCATTCTGGCCGAATTCATCATGCCAATCAGCTGCAAAAAATCATTACATTGTAAACCTATTCTCTGATAATAATATTTAATTTCCCACTCTGAGAATTATTTTAGCATAAATGAAAATAAAATTATATGGAAATTATTTTTTAATTGCAAAAGTAATACATTCGCTGCTTATATGATTGGCAAGGTTGACGTCAAGTGTGGTACTCTGTGACATATGAGCGCTTATTAAATCAGATACACCACGAATCGTGCTTGCGTCTACTGAGGTTGCCATTCCCAATCTGAAAATGATATGCTGTCAATATAATGCGAAATGAAAAAATTCTATTTCTAAATCCTATCTTTTCAATGTATTTTTCGATTCGGAAAAGAAGGCAAAATCAATTAATAATATAAAAGACTGCAACGGATTTTGAAAAAAAAAAGAGTAAATATAAGAAAGTGTTCTATTTTAGATCAAAATAAAGCCAATAAGTTCGTAAACTTTTTGTGTCTCAAAAACTGTTTGTACATGAGAATAAAAGGTTTTTAAAAGAAACGCACTTCATCTTGTATGTCTGTACTTACTTTCTTTAGTAATAATTGTGATTTGACTTGGCAACGGTCACTTAAAAAGCAAACAGCAAATTAAATCATAAAATACAACTCCTTAACCTACTATCTAACGATACTTGCAAATATCATTTTGAATTAAACTACCTTAAGGCTTTTTTACTTTTATCTCACGAATATAATCTCCTAATGAGAAGTTATAGAAGTTCCAAACATACATATCACCATTCAAAACATAAATGAAGTCGATGGTTTAGAGTTGAGAGAAAAATAAGCGTTTTTATCTTCTTTGACAATCACGGTAAAATTTCTCTTCCTCTTTCATTGCAGTGAAGGAAACAAGATAAATGAAATGAAGAAGGAGTATAGCGCAAATGCATTAAGATCAGGCTAATCAGCTAAAGCATAAAAATACAATAGAATTTCCGCACTTATAACGACCAGCTGATCGAAGATGCTCGTAAATACTAAAATTACTCCCGGCTGTAAAAAACTCTTCGACTGGAAAATTTTCCAGAAGTGTTTGAGCGCCGATATAAGAAGAAAAGACTAGATAAGATTCCCGTAAAATTGCAGAAATTTTCTTTTACAGGAATAAAAAAATAAAATTTGTCTAAAAAGTCATTCTGCTAAAGATGACCTTGTTAGTAATTATTCAAAATCGATAACTGTACTACTGCAATTTTTGATCAAATCTTTATTCAAAACTAGAAAGAAGTGGTAGCTACTACAAATATAGTAAGTTGTTTCTGTTGTTTTTCGATTGTGTGAATGAATTCATGCGCTCTTAGATGGAGTAAGTAAGTTCTGACATGCAAAGATATTTCAACCTAAAAAGGTACTGGTAATCAATACTAATCAGAGGTCATCTTAGACATCAAATACTTACTTTGTTCTTAACTGTTGTGAAGGTAAAGGCATGCTTTGCATCATTTCGAACTTTTCACTTCCCATCAGATATTTTGTTCTTTCCATATGATCGATATGTGTCCTCAACAAAACATTATATCTCTCGTGTAGTTTGTCAAATTCAGCTTTCTGGTCTGCTTCTCGTTCTTCCAATCGTGCAGCTAAAAAAAACCTTATAATAACTGACAAATGACTGTTAAACACATACAGACGGTTTCGTAAATTTCTAAACCTTTACAAACCATGATCAGATGCATTTTTTGCTTTTAATTCCAACATTCTCATTATCGACTCCAAAGACTCAATTTTACTTTCAAGTTCTCGATTTTGCTCCATTAGTGAATCCTCAATTTCCAAACATTTCTAAAAAACCAAAATTTAAGCCTTACATCATCAATAACTAGACATTGGTCAACTTGATATTCTTGCAAAACAGGTTGTGTTATAATCACTCGGTTTATATAAGATTTTAATTTATAATCGTCATGAATTATACATCTGTAATTAAATGCTATCAGCAAATCATCAAAAAAAAAGAAGAAACAGTTAGCATTGGGGAAAATAAGCTATGTTCCTTAATGATGAGTAAAGTACCTGGTCCTGAGCCTTCCTCAGTTGTTTTTCTCTTTCATATTGTGTCACTAATTGCTCATTATCTTCCTTAAGCATTTCCAAATCAACTGAGCATTCTTCTTTTTCCAAATATGCAAGATCCAGACTTTCCAGTACATTAACAACCAATGGCATCAGATTCTGCAATATTTTGGTTCAGTTGAACTGAAATCTTGAAATTATATATTTTTACCGGTTGTGTAAATTTACTTGAAAATGCCTTTAAAAATTTGAAAAATGAAAGCTACATTCTATATCTGAAGAAATAATCACTGCAAAGCTAAAATGAATCTCAAAAAACAATAGGAATGATAATTCAAAGAAGAAGTAAATAATTACTTTGACACTGTCCTCTCCATTTTTCTCTATCATAGTTTCGAATTCTTTGTAAATGGATGAAGCAAGCATTTGAACTTTTTCTGACATAACGCGAGTGTCATCACCTGTCGAACTAACTGATCCAGTAGCACCGTACACTACCTATCATAAAACTTATATTATCAATCAAAAAAGGACAGAAGCACTGATATTTCTAGTATACAGCGTTATTTGAAACTCAAAAATAATTATTGGAAAAAATTTAGAAAACAAAGAAGCACATCTTTACCAATTATAAGTGGAAATTGAAATAAGAATGATGCATAAGAAAGACGACATAATTCATAAAATTGAGTTAATTAAAATATGCTGTCTTTCCAAAAAATGGAAGAAGAGTAACACGTATAACATCTCTGCATAAAGAGGAAGGACAACACTGAACCAGGTAGGCATAATTATAAGTTATATCAATTGGAGACACAAAACAAGTTAGAGAGAGAAAGAGTGACAACAGGTAGGGGTTAACTTCTGGTTGCCTATATCGGTCAACTATAAAAATGCTATTCATTCCTAATAATAGATTTTCAATGATAAACAACAAAAAATATCAAAAGATAGAAATGTTTCTGAATAACAATTATAGGAAAATAGTATGCTTAATGTCAACAAAAACATTATACATGTGAAAATGATGTGAATGAGAGAAGTGAAAGACATCTGCAATTGTATCAATATAGTAACAGTATCTTTTTTTAGATTTTAATTAATTTCGAAATTAAATTTTTTAAGAAGAAAATGTGAATAGAAATTACGAATGATATATGGTATTTCTTGAAGAAATTCATCCATCTCAAACTCTCTTCCTCATTTATATATCAATAAAATATATATTAAATATATGAGAATGAAGAATTATTGCACATACCTCACTGCTACTGCTATTAGTGGAAGAATGCATTGCACTGCTATTTTGAATAATTTCCATCATTTTGTATCCTTCGTACTTTGCTTCACAATAAAATTTTCATTTCTAAAGTTGGAGACATTGTTAATTTAACTTCATTCCTGTGCCAGCTATAAAACATCGAATTGTAGAAATTGGATAAAAATTGTGCAAATGCTTACGTAACAGCAAATATTCGAATTGTTTAGGCTTATTAAGTTAGAAAAATACTACAAATTACGTCGATAATGAATAATAATTTTAAAAAAAAAGAACTGAAAAAAATGAAGGAAACAGAGATGATAATGATTAAGACATTCCAATGATACGAAATACTTTTCATATAATAATATGATTACAATAGTAAACTTCGAAAAAATAACTCAACGAGAATGTTTATGGCAAGATGAAATGTATCAATTCAAAAAATATCCTTTTAGTGTATTGATTGAATTTCTAAAATTTTCTGAAAGCATAAAGCTATCAGTTATGTTTTTCATCGCAAGTTGAGGAATTGTCAAAAATCATTTCATGCTTCAACAAGTTTTAGCAAATGCCTCAGGCATCAGAAAGTTATTTTATTGTACACTACGATTTATAATACTGAATGCACAAAACGCAAAGCAGTCAGTATATGAAAGTTTTTTTCGATTGAAATTGTTGTCGAAAATCAATGAAAAGTTATCGCTAAATCGATGCTGACATAAGCGATGTTCCTTTTTTTTTTCTTGGGAATGAAAATTGACAGGGAATTGATAAGAAACTGATAAATGATAATGGGAAATGGTATTATTTTCATTCTTCCTCTTTTAACCTTCAATTTCACTTTATACAATGTCATCGTCTGCAATGATACCACGAGCAACTGTTACCTAATCCCGATGCTATAATAAAAGGCATACCCGCATAAGGCACCACTAAGAATTGCCTCTTATTCCACTCTTTCGAAGGCCTTCAACATCTTCCTCTCTCCAACTCTTCCAATATTCTGTTACCAATCGATTCCCTCTCTCTGTAATTCTTCTCGCACACACACACACACACACACACACACACACACACACACACACACACACACAGACGCACACACACACACAGACGCACACACACACAAACACACACAGACGCACAAACGCACGCACACACGCATACACTTCTCGTTGGAGTCTCGAAGACACAGTGTGGAGCCAACGAGATTTTAGGCTGGGAGTAGAACTTTCCGAGGGAAAGTTAGGCATATGTTGCGGAGTGTAAAATGTAAGGGAGGGATAGAGAATGACTAAAACGCTTTCGGAAGAAAATGCGATGAATATTTCGGTTGTTCGTCGATCTCCTTTACAGTCAGTCCTGTACAGGAAGCTATTCCAGATCATTCGAGAAAGGAATCAATCATGTGATATGAAAAATATGATGCAGAAGATGGGTAGATGAGAATCGTTTAAAATGCCGATGATCGATGAATGATGGTGGTGACTGTCACCTGTGATAGGATGGAAAACTATTAGTAATAGCAATGAAAAGAAGAGAAAAAAAAAAGACAGTTATTGGAAATCGAAACATTCTTAAAATGGGAGGAAATGGAAATGAAGCGTTAAAGCTAACTTCACTGCTTCCATTCAATAATACATTGATGTGAAGTGCGCAATTCAATTTCATCCATTTAAATTCACACTTCAATTATTTATCAATAGTTCATAGCAATGACTTTGTTAATGTTCAATCAACATCAATTCCTACTTTATGCATGTTTCTTTCCCTTTGGCTATCTGTAACTTTTCACATACTAAGCTTTATGCTTAAATGATTGCTAATTAATATTCCAGAACTAATTCATATGGATTTATTATTCTTTATTCTGAAATTTATTATTCTTTATTTCAATACCATCAAAAGTTATGAATCCTTTCCGATTAATTATGAATTTAGTAATGCAAATTTTTTGATTTTTTCATATATCTGAGATGTATAGTACAATTAGAAGTTCTTTCATCGTTTTAGAGTAAAATGAATTTTTACTAATGAGCATTTATTTGGTATTTCAAACAAAGTAAGTCACAAATGGTAATAATTTTATAGGTAAATGTAAATTTCACGTATTGTTGAAATTGTCTATAAAGTATGAAATGAGAATTTATCATAAATTAGTACCATTTATTGTTGATGGATAAAGTTATAGCAAAAAGCTTAAACAATCAAATATTTGACTTTTTTTCTGAACTGAAATTCTTGAAGGACATTTTAATAGTTTTGCATTAAACTTCTAGCTTGTATTTTGATAAATTTTAGTAGATTGCTTAAATTTACTTTCGTTGCAATTTAAATTTCAATTTAATTCATTTCCAGCCTTATTGGTTCAATAATAGCAAATCTTCATGCTACGTGCTTCAATAGCATACTGTAGCAGACAAATCCACTCACTGCGACATTCTGACTACTTTGCAATGTTACTTTGCAAAGTATTTCCTAGAAGTTTGATAAGCTCAAATTATATTTAATTTAATTCTTTGTTTCGAGTAAAGTTTACTTTAGCATTTACTTCATGAAAATTCCTGTTGAATTTTCGATTTCAGTCAAATAGCATATGCAACGAGAGGGAAAATGAAGAGGGAATAATTAACGATACACTTTTAGAATCTGAATATTTAATCATTTATAAATTAACAATACTTGTTTATGGTATAAACTTCCAAGGATAGTTTTCTTCCACATATGTGAACATTCCTCCTTTCAAATCAACTTTTTTAAATTTATAACTTTAAATGCAAATGAATTCGTAATATTTCGTGACTTCTCATCTGACTTGATCAAATGCAAAAAATATTCGGGGGGAGGAACAGAAAAAACATACTGGAAATTGGTAATACTACCAGTGTTTTACTATCATTTTAAAATTCAACTAAATTTTTCAAATTCAACTAAATTCTGGCCCAATGAGCATAGAGAATGTGAAGAAGCAGTAAAGAAATTATTGCGATTAAATTCATTTGAATTTTTTGTTGTATATTTGATTTTTTTGATTTGTACTCATCGCTAACATCGACAGATACATTATTGTAAGTCAGCTAATAAGCAGAAATGAGTTTATTTTCAAATAACTTCTCAAGCATCATCTTTTTAATACAAACAGTCAATAAGTTCTACAAATATACTTCCTGCATTGTTAATTTTTGCCATGAAGAAATATTAGTTTTTTTAATTAACTTTCAAAAGCATTTTAACTGAATTGGAAAATATTTATAATTTTAAAACGGACTTTAAAAAAGTAATTTTCTGAAACATTTCTAGAATTCCAATGGTTATATTTTATATGTAAGAAAAAAATTCCATCAAAAATATTGAAATTCAAAACGTATACGAATGAAAAAATTAAATATGTGTAGAGAACAAATTGCCAGTATCTGGAAGTTTGAATAGAGGAAGATATAAGTGATGATCAGAGGCAGCGACTATTTCAATATAATTTTTTTAACAAATCTCAACTTCAATGCAAAACAATTAATCATGAGTGAAAGTTGCGTCTATTCAATTAGCATTTGCAAGATTAAACTTCAAATGTTCACTATCAACAGAATAAAGCACGGATGTTATCACATATATTAATGGGTATTATCACGTTATTGACAGATGTTATCACGTATCCAGAGTTTCATTTGCGTGTACGCTCACATTTAACAGAAAGGCATATGTGCTCAAAAAAGAAAAAAATTAAAATCAAAAATCTGGCATAAGCACAAAAGAAGGAAATGTCTTATAGAAACAAAATTGCTCTAATAAAACATAATGTTAGCTTTCAACAATGTTGAGTTAGTAGAAAATTTTCAATTTTCAACTTACAAATTTTAAAAATAAATCAAAAACTTCGCTTAAATATACAAAAAAACATTTTCGGCAAATAGAGGACTGTAATTACACTCTTCCCTGTTCTCATATCCGCAAAACGATTTTTTTAAAAGTTATTTACATATATATTTATTTAAACAAAACTGATTTATTGTTAAATTTGTAACAAAATAAGCTAAAGACAAATGAAACAGAGAAAAATGGAAAAGCTATGAATTGTCTAGCAAAAGTACATTTGAAAATGATTAAATTCACAAATTTATAGCACAAATGGCTTTCAATATTCTATGGAATTATTTCTATTTAACACATTTGCCGTGTTTATAAACTGATTTTATTAATTTGTTAAATTTTTGATAGAGAAAAATAAATATATTTTTCATAGGTGAGAAAGAAATATATAAAAAATAACACATAAAAATAACAATGTTGAAAACTTCTGCAAATGTAAAGCAACATGCATTTTTTAGTATTATAAGTCTTGATTGAATTTAACATTTGAAGAGAAATAGTTATAATCAGAGCTTGTCACAGATTATGAATGGAACTTATTCGTGCATAGCAAGAGATCAAAATTATTACTTGCAAAAATAACAAGACTGAAAAAGGCAACATTTTCGATTGCATTTAATAAATTTGCATTAAAACATATGTCAGGTCAATCGCAAAAACTATCCAGAATAATGAATACTGATTAACGTTAAAAAATAATAAACAAGACGGAACCAAAAATTTGAGATGTAACTGAATTAAATTAAAATTAAGCACTAATTATGAGATATGGCTATTAAAAAAAATCATATAAGAAGCATGTATATTTAAAAAATCCGTTAGAGTGTATATGTGTCAATAATTATCACAGAAACTATTTCAAATAAAGATTAAATGAAAGAATTATTACAAATACTTCATATGAATAAAGTAATTGATAACAATTGACTATTATTATAAATCTTACGAGATTTTCCAATCATATATCACTCATTTTCCTAATATTCAGATTCAGTGCACGGTCCATACTTTAACAAATTTCCATTTCTATATTGAAACAAGGAGTAATGAGAAAAAGATTAACAACTTTGTAATTTATCATCTATTTCTGAGTATTGTTTTATAATTAATATTATTTTAAAGAGTTTTTTTAATCACTCATCGTATTACCAGAATGATATGTTCAACATTATACATCAACAATATAGCAGATG